ATTTTTTAATTTTGAGACAGTGTCGCACTAAGGTCACTTAGTTGCCCAGGCTGGCCTTCAACCTGCAGTGCCTCAGGTTCCAAGAGCGCTGGGATTACAGGTGTTCACCATGCCCAGCCTGAAGGTAATTTTATACTTTTTTATTTTAACACAGCCTCAAGCATGCTAAGTAAATACTCTGTCACTGAACGTACCCCCAGTCTTTTGGGTTTTTTGTTTGTTTTGTTTGTTGTTTGTGGGGTTTTTTGATACTGGGGATCGAACTCAGGACCTTGCACCTGCAAGACAGGTGCAATGCCACTGAGCTAAATCCCCAGGCCTTTTGTTTATTTTTTGAGACAGGGTCTCTTAGTTCCCCAGTTTTGGGAACTTGTGATCTTCCTGCCTAGTCTCCAAGTAGCAGGACTGGGACACCATCCTTAGCTTATACAATGCACAGAGCCTGGGTTGGGACTGGCACACATGTGGGGCTGGCTGTGGAATTTCCAACTTGTGGTTTCCTGTCAATGCTTTAAAAGTTTTAGATTTTGTATTTTTGGACTAGGGATGCTCAACCCATAATGCCATAGAAATTTGTTTCTTAGCACATACAAGGTATAAAAACTGAAGCATTTTAGGCCAATAAGGAATAACAAAATGATAGTGGCAAAATGTTCCTTTAGAATTTCCAATCAGACATCAAGTATTTTGTCCATTTTGTTTCAAGTGTAGTCCTCAGATCCATTTGCCTTCAAATGTCCATATTAGGTGCCTACATTACAGCAATGTCTTCAGAACTATCTTTTTTGCAACTTTTTTTAGTGTGTGTTAGTAATTTCTTTGGTATCAGGGAAAAGCTGACCTCAATGATTTAGGAAGTCTACTCTCTTATTTTCTGCATTTAGTGGACTTGGCTCTTGGGGGGAGGGGCAGTGTTAGGGATCGAATCCAGGGTCACTGTACCACTGAATTATATCCTTAGTCCTTTTTACTTTGAGACAAAGTCTTGCTAAGTTACCCAAGTGGGACTTGAACTTGCAGTCCTCTTGCCTCAGCCTTCCTCAGTGCTGAGATTCCAAGTATGTGCCACCATCCCCAGCTATTCTTTTAAATCTCTCATAGGGGGTTTCTCACCACCAATTCAGCTTCTTTATTATATAAAACTGTTCTCCTAATCTGTTTCCTGGTGGAGAAGCTTTGGTGATGTGTGTTTCAGGGAATCTGTTGTATCTAAGCTGTCAGACTGGCAGAGTTGTTATACTGTTCCCTTACTATATTTTATAATATGTGTTAAAATAATAACTGATGGTCTTTACAAAGCACAGTGAGCCTGATGGAAGGGGACAGACTGAAAGCTGTCTGTAGACTGCTGAGTTGACTGTGAGCACATTTCTGAGCTAGCATATGCAGTCTGTTTTAGGGGCAATCTCAGGCACTGATCTCACTGGGCAAGGGTTATCCCCTCGCCTCACCAGATGTCCTTACTGGCCTGTCTTCCCCTATCCAGAGATGTCCCAGCTCTCTGAAATGACCCCAAGGACCTAGAGGGCCAGGGGATGGTTCGCGGAGAGCTGCTGCTTCCCATCTACCACCAGGTGGCAGTGCAGCCCGCTGACCTGCTGGACAGGGATCAGGCCGGGATTCTGGAGAAGAGCAGTCAGTGTAAGGGCAGGTCTGTCCGAGGACGCTAAACCTTATGTCGGGCCAAGGGGGACACCAACAAAGCTGCCCAGGAAAGCCTCCTTGAGCCAGCACGCTTAAGGATGTCCAAGTTCAACAAACTAGCCTGACCATCAGCCAGTGACGGCCCTGGCAAATGACAGTGAGCACAAAGAAAACTGAATTCTCCGTGGGCAGGGTGTGAGCGGGGGCCTGATGTTGCTTTGGGAACCAAAGGGTTCCTTTGTGAAAGGCTGTCTTGGCTTTGGAGGAAAAACAAGGCAACAAATAGCTGCTGCCCTAAAATGGTGGACAGAAAGCCTGCCAGGTAAACATGCAAATAAACAATTTTTGAAGGAAGTGCTTCCGGCCTATTGACTTATTGTGGGCTGGCACTTTCCCTTTGAGCTCTCCATCTGCATACAGCAGCTGAGATCTTGAGAAAGTTCCTGTCCCAGGAGTAGCTAGGGATACAATGGAGGGAAGTTCCAGATTCCTGTGCCTCTGCTGCCCCGGCTGCCCCTGCACAGGTGCCCATGCTCTCCTCCTTCCTCCCCACCTCCTCTCCAGTCTGCACTGTAGCCTTCCCCACACCCCAGCCAGGCAGTGGCAGACTTGCCCCAAAGCCACTGGAGAAAGAAACAGCGGGCAGCTAGGCTCATCCTCAGTGAGGAGGGACCCCTGGGGTATTCATCTGCCCACTTGTCCATTCCCACTGCCTCAGCCCTCCTGGGGATCACCTCCTCTCTTGTCATCATCACCTCACTGCTCCCCTACAAGCCTCGCAAGCATCAGGTGTCCCTCAGTCCTAGTTAGAGGAATGCCCTGGGCTCTGTAGCCCTTGGATCTGCCTTGTCTCAGTTAGCAGCCTCACCAGTGACCCGTCTGTGCTCTCTGCCTCGGTATGCCTTCATGAGTGCCAGGGGTGCTTGTTACGAACTCAGACTAGCTGGGTGTGGTGGCTGAGTGGAAGAATCCCAAGTTCGAGGCCAGTCTGGGCAACTTAGCATGAGCCTCAAAAAGCAAAACACTAACAGTGGCTCTGGCCCTACCTCAGCCCTTCTCATTCAGAATGCCTGAGGCAGAGAGACAGACAGAAAGACAGACAGACACAGAAATCCCCAGGAGATGCTGATAATCAGTAAATCTGACAGAGTTTCCATGGTTAAAGAAACTGGTTGCTTTCAGGAAGTCCCAAGGCTAGAGTCAATCGGAAATACTTCCACTTGGGCTGAGTGTCTTGCAAGGAGGAAGAGACAGCCCCAGAGGTGGACTGAGTTGTCCTCTGTCCCCGGTCATGTTAATTCCCATCCCATGGCAGCTGGTTGGGAAGATTCTGGAGGCCCTGGTGAGGTGACAGGTTCTCATGTGCTCAGCACAGCTCAGTGGCCAAAGTGCCCTGGTAGATGGGCATGAAGCCTAGCCTGTACCCCCTGCCCCAGGTCTCTGAGTGCCTTTGAAGCTGCCCACATCTTTGCAGCTCCTCTGGCATCTGTGTGTGGGAGGAGCCATCCACACATCCAGCTTGGTCCAAAAGAGTCTACATCTGGCCCCACTGCCCCATCCCAACTGTTAACCAGCCCTTCTTATTCTTTCCCCAGCCTCCACCAGGATTCCACACTACACCAGGAAACAGTGCCAGGGCAGGGACTGGGAGAGCTGCAGATCGGGCTTGGATCTTAGGGACGTGTTTGCTCCTCTTTAAAGCAGTGTGATAATTAACTGATTGTGTCAACTTGAGAAGGAAAGGCCCAGCTAAATTGGATCAGCATAGTTCTCAGTGTGGCTGCAGGGATTTCCTGAAGATGGAAACACACCCTAGGGAGGATTGTCACCTGAATGGTATAAAGGGGAAATGAAGAAGGAAGGCTCCCTTCTGTTTCTTTGGAAGGGCTCCAGTCTTTGCCTTCACCTTGGACGTCATCTTCTGCCTTCCAGCACAGACCCTTCAGCCTCCAGTGCAGATACAGACTCACACAGGACACTACACTGAGCTCCAGGCCTTCGACTGGACCCTTAGGCTCTCCAGCGCACAGACAGCCTCTTTGCACTCTTCCACACCTGACTCTGTGGGCAGCCATTGTAAGCTGGTCTTTTAAATTCCTATATATTGTATGTCTTGCATTAAATCTTTTTCTGGTAAGCACTGACTGACGGAAGCAGTGAGCAGACATTGTGAGCTAAGCCTGAGACGTGTGGAAAGACAATGCAGAAGTGCAGTGTGTTTGAAGCCCATCTCTGCCCCTCAGTAACAACCTGTCAGCTTCTTTGCCCCCTTGACCCTGTCTCCTCCTCTGTAAAGGGGGATGTGTTGGTTTCTTATGGCTGTTGCGACAGTCACCACAAACTGAGTGGCTTAAACAACCTAAGTTTATCATACAGTCCTAGAGGTCAAAAGTCCAAAATGCAGCTCAACTGGACTGAAATCAAGGCATCAGCAGGGCTATACTACACCTAGAGGTTCTAAGGGGATCCATTTTCTTGTCTTTTGCAGCTTCCTGAAGCCCCATTCCATCTTCAGAGCCAGCAAGTGCCAGGGCTGGGAGCGGGAGAACCTGGCTCCGACCAGGGCTGTGTCTAGAGCTCACCATCCTGTGACCTTGGCCTTCTGCCGTGACTCCATGCACAGGGATGGCCCTACTCCTTGGCTCAGCATCGTTATAACCCTATGACTAGGGCATTAACCAATAAGAGAGCCGCAGCCCCAGCCAGCCCCAACAATGGTTTGAAGGAAGGGTGGGTAGATTTTGGTCACAGCTAATGAATATCACCCCAGGGGCTTTTTGGGAGCTGTAGGTCCCCTCCTTCTCCTGGGGTGGTTAGCTGGGAAGATGAAACTGGAGCCTCTGGGTCCAGCAACTGCGTCTGACATGTTTTTTGCCACGGACAGGTCGGGGCCAGGGATGCATGAGTGTAAGCCACTTCTTACATAGGTTGAAAAGTTAGACTCCAAATCATTGTGCCCCATTGCTGTTTTCACAGTAGCGAGTCACCTGATTTATTCCTCTGAGCCTCAGTTTCTTCGTGTGCAAAATGGGTGTAATCAGTCATGCCTTTCGGGGCCGCCGTGGGACTGAATGAAGTCACAGCAGTGACTAGCAAAGGGCCTGGATATGGCCGGTGCTTGGTGTCTCCTCTGACCCCAGGTACACACCCAAGAGGAGGTCAGAGCAGCACCCCTGAGCTTTGTCCCAACTGAGAGTCTGAAACACACATACTCTGCCCTACCCAACCTCCCTGAGCCTCTGCTTTTGAATCAGTAAACAGTATTCATGGCCCATGCCTGAGATGTCTGTCAAGTGCTGGTAGTGAGGACAGTAAACACAAGCCATGCTGATTTTATTGGTAATAACACTGCCCCCACTCCCAGCCCCCATCCCAGTGGGAACCCGGTATCAGAAAACTGGGCATTAGTGGTAAGAGTGGTGTCCTTTTCCCACAGCTGCCTTCCCCGCTCACCACAAGCCACAGAGCTGCCGTTCAGCCTTTATTGACAGAAGACACTTAGTCATCCAGTTCTACACCTACAGAGCCTTGGTGCTGCCTGAACACGGGCTCTTCATTAACAACAATTTAAACAACTTATGGGGGTCATGGTACACAAAGTAGCTGAGCAGTACTGGTCAGACAGACATGCTGGGCTATGTCTAAAGATCATGACACTCAGCAGAAGGTTCCAGAACTTGAATGGACTTAATGATGGGCCTTCGAGCCAGGGCTTAAGGTCAGCCTCACAGATAGGTCACCTGGCTGGCCTGGTGATTCGGCGGAGCATCCTGGCTCTAGGTTTGGGAAGCCTAGACACAAGAGCCAAACATCAGGTGGCAGAGAGAGGAGGTTGGTGCCCTGGCTGTGGGAGCAGCAGCTTCTGCCTCCAATGGGAAAGCTGTGCCCAGCAGCTCACCACTGTCTCCACTATCCAAGGGCCCCCAAGAACCTGCCACTTGAAAAATCAGTCATTGGCAAAAAGAAGAAATGTAAAAACAGGCACAAGCCAAAGAAATAGGCCAACAAGTCCCAATGAATATTTTGCACTGCACTCACTATGTGGGCCAGCTGCTCATGGTTCCCAGTCCACCAACTTTCCTTCCCAGTGGTTAGGGGTGTCCTAAGGCCCCGTTCCAAAAGTGCCCTGCCCTGTTTCTCCCATTCTCAGCCCCATTGGCCTTTAGGAAGTCCCCAAGCCCCAGATCATGGCGACTTCCTTCTTAGGTGCCCATAGGAAGTAATCTGAATCATGACTAGACAGTTAGAAAAATATCTCTGGTCTCTAGTATTAAAAATAGAATGCTTCACAGGTCTCAAAAGTGCCTGGTTGTTCTAAAAAGAAGCCCAAGGCTGCCAAGCAGTGGTGAACCAGTGAGAGATGTGATTTACTGATAATTTAGGACAGGATTGCTGGGACATGTGGAGGGATGGAGGAGTCTCATACTCGGGCTGGGTTCACAGGGGAACAAAATGGATCACAATAAATATAAATAAATTTACACGTGGTCTTAGTGCCTGGCATGGCCCAGGAGGCTGCGCTATGAAATCCTATCATACTATAGGGGCTGGAGTATGGGGCTGGAGCTGCCTCAGCAGGAATCATTGCAGGGTCAGTCCAGGAGAAGTCCCACGGGTTGCCAGCCCCTCTCCCAGCCTTGAGCCCATCCTCTGACACTGAGGGAGAGGTTTCAGCCAGCTCAGCACTCCACACACACACCCAGAGTAAGTAAAGGGCCTTCCCACTGAGTGTTTCCATGCTGTGCCTAAGTGCTGCAGGTCACAGAGGGGGCCAGCCAGGAGCCCGGCTGGAGTTGGCCTGTCCTCAGCATGTCCAGGCCTTCCTTGCCTCTCAGGTCCTGGAGGCAAGGGACATGCTGAGCTGGACTCTCTTTGGTCCTTCAAACATGGGAGGGGCCCCAGAAGCTCCCAGTAGGAACCCAGAGAGCATAACCTGGCTGAGAGGACCTGCTTCCCTGACCAGCCTGCAGCCTCACCAAATGTTCAGGAGAGGCCTGTGGGAGGGCAAGGGGCCTTTCTTCCAGAAACACCCAGGAGGGTCCTTCATGCCCAAGCCTGCTACAGGAGAGGTCTGGGGGCAGGTGAGTCCTTCAGCTCAAAGTAGGGCTATGGGCTTGTTCCCTGGGGTGCCCAGGTACTGGGAGGAGGAGGTGGCTCCCGACGAGGCCACACTGTCCGGGGCAGAGTATGCAGCATACAGACCAGTCACCTGCACATCTGGAAAGGGCTGCTCGCTGCTGCCAGAGACAGGGGTCAGGCCCGAGGCCCCCAGATCACAGCCAAGAGGGGAGTCTCCAAAGGCCCCCAGTGTGTCCAGGCTGAAGCCCTCGTCCTTCATCTCTTCCCAGAGGTTCCCTTGCAAAGACAAAAGCATGCGGATGAGCTGGCTTCAGGTAAAACAGGCCTGAGTTTGAATCCCTGTCTTAGGGAAGAGGCAAAGAGCATGCATGGTATTTAAGATCATATGTTGTGGGAAAAGAGTGAGGAGGAACCAGAGTTCCAGGCCCAGCCTGCCTCTTCCTGTTGTGAGCCCTTGGGAAAGTCATGTTTGTCTCTGAGCCTCAGAATAAAATGCAGATGATCAGAAGATCTACCTGTGAGGGTTGTTATAAGGGTTTAACAAGAGGGTGTGTTAAAAGCATTTAGTTCTCATTGCCTCGTACCTCACGGTCCAAGCCAGAACAAAACCATGTTTCCCCTTCAGCACATTTAATTACACAGCAATGGGGGGGGGCACGCAGAAAGGATCACAGCTGTAACCAATTTGCTAACTAACCTGCTAACTTGTCCACTACCCTCATTAGAGGTAGACCTACTGGATGAAGTTTTGGCCCTTGGCTGGTGTCCTGCAGGAGCACCCATGTAAGCTGTAAGCAAATGGGTGAACTGCGAGCCTTCCCTGAAGCCTGAGATCTTTGTCTAGTCTTTCATCATTTGTTCATTCATTCATTCATTCATTCACATTCTGTGCATTATTTGTCTATTTGGCAGTTCTGGGGATTGAATTCTAGGCTTTCACCCTGAGCTACATCCCCAACCTGTTTTAATTTTTAATCTTGAGACAGGGTCTTGCTAAGGTGCCCAGGTTGGACTTGAACTTGCAGTCCTTCTACCTCAGCCTTCCAGAGTATCCCATCTCAGTGATTGAGGATGACCATGTGGCAAGCCATGGGTCACTCTGTGACCTGACCTGAGGTTGGCACGTGCAGTTGCTGATGAAAAATTTGGGGTCAAACAGAACTGGGTTTAAATCCCAGCTCCATCACTGACTGGTCAGGTCATCTTGGGCTAGTGACACTTCTCATTGCTTCAGCGTCTTCACTGGCAGGATGAGGATATCAAATGCAGTAGCCTCTGAGGACATGGCAGGCTGGGGTGAGATGGTGCTGAGGAAGTGCTTGGCTGGGGCCCAGTATACAGTAAGCACTCATTCGCTGCTCAGTATGCTAACAGTGGGTGCTGCCAGGGCCATGGGGCCATGGATGAGACAGTCCTGTGCTCACCTGACTCCTTGCTCCCTCCCTACCCGGCTCCCAGCACCCTGCTCCTCCAGCCTTACCCTGCAGAGCGAAGTCCATGATGCTGGGGTCCAGGGCATCCACCTCAGTGCTCATGTCAGTGCTGATGTTGATGAAGTCCATTGGGGCCCTGCCCGAGGCAGGCTGGGAGATGGGGCTGCAGCTCATGTCTGGCAAGGCATGCAGAGGTGGGGTCTGGGCTGGCGCCGGGGAGTCTGGGGTCAGATGTGCCTGGGGCTGGACCTGGTGGTGCAGGGGAACGGACTGCAGGGACAGGGTCATCAGTGCCTGTGGTGGGAGCTGGGAGACAGGCAGGCAGCTGTGGGCCACGGCCACTGAGGTGCCATGAGTCAGCACAGGGGCCTTGGGTTCCCCTGGTTTGCCAGGGCGCCGGCAGCTTTCTGGCCGGTCCGAGATCAGCTTGTCCAGCTCCTCTGCAAGCAAGTGGGAGAGGTCACTAAGGATACCTTGCAGTGACCAGATCCCAGCCTAGGCCTGGGTTCAAGTCCCAGTACTACCACCTGTGTGACCTCAGCATGCCTCTGGGACTCTTTGAACCTCTATCTCTTCACCTATGAAGTGGTATCATATGCGACACAAAATGACATCAGGAATGGTGTGGAGCCTTTGATTAATGACAGGCGCCACCAAATAACACTAGTACCTCCCTTGGTCCGGTGCCTTATAGCACAGGCCTCTCACCCTAGCACTCCTTTGACCTCTGATGAGCCCTACAAGGGAGAGCTTAGACAGAGATTCTGGATTCCACAAGATTGGGACAAGACTTTTGACATGCAAAGGTGTCTAGCCACTCCCTGCCATGAACAAGACATTAGGAAATGTTGCCATTGGTTAAAAACTATATTCTTCCCCTGGCAGCAGCATGTGCCTGTAATTCCAGCTATTCAGTAGGCTGAGACAGGAGGATAAGTTCAAGGTCAAGCTGGGCAGCTTAGCAAGACCTTGTCTCAAAAAAAGAGAGAGCAAGAGAATGTGAATGCTTGCCTAACATGTGCAACACCCTGACTTTGCTCCCTAGCACTGAAAACAAAACCAGACAAATAAAACCTGTATCCTCTTTAATACTCTTAGATATAAACAAATAAAAAGAGAAATGATTGTTGGCACAAAATTGTTGGCTATGTTGCACTAAATGTAACACCACGCCGAGGGTGGACCATCAGGGTCCCAAGATCTATTTGGGGAGCAAATGCTTTAGAAATGAGGATGTCTGAAATCCAGAATGCGGAATGACCTACCTAAGATCTCATGCTAAACGCAGGTCAAAACTGGCCCTGTATCTCAAGTCAGGCCCCAGAGCTGTGTAGGGTGGACACCATGTGCTGCCCTCAGCCAGGGCCTGTTTGTTCCTGCTGCAGCCTGTCTCCCCACCTTCTTGACAGGTGCCAGCTCCTTCATGCCAAACCTCAGGAAGATGGCATCCTCTAGACCCAGACCACAGGTTCCTGAGACTGGGCAGAAGCAGCCTACCCCTGCATAGTGCCCCTTCTATGGACCCTCTTCACATACTTAATTTCTTTTTTTAAAAGTAGGAAAAAATTGAGAGAAAGAAAGCTTCTAAGAGAGACAGAAGGGGGACTAACAAGTGGGTTGCCCGCCCCTTCACATACTTAATTTTTTTTAAAGAGATCCAATGTAATCTTCAAAAGTAATTCATGAACAGTGTAGAAGTTTTAGCAAATATAGAAATATGTGAAGAATGTAAGAATTATCCGAAGGGGCCAGGGATTTAGCTCAGTGGTTCCCGTGTGCCTGCCTCGGAAGCGCAAGGTCCCGATCCCCACTACCAAAAAGAATTATCAGAAATCTAGATAGGTGGCATAAGCCTGTAATCCTAACACTTGGGAGGCTGAGGCAGGAGGACTGTGATTTCAAGGCTACCTAGAACAACTTAGCAAGTTCAAAGCCAACCTGGCAACCTGGACTACATAGTGAGACTCTGTCCAAATACCAAAAGTATATAAATAAAT